TGGCAAGTAAGGGATTCCTCGAGGCCCACGCGCGAGTCAGAGGGAACTTATTCTAATCTGTGGAAGAATGCTTGAATTGAGAAGAATAGAGAATTGATGCTTCCTCGAAGAGGCACGGCTTACTAGAGAGCAGAATTTTTTGTGATCTAAGGGAAAGGGTGTTAGGGTGAATGTGTTGTTTCTGGTACTATTTTGTTCCGACGCGCCACTTTTGGCTTTATCAAACCTTACAACGTTCGCCGAGAAGGTCTTATAGGTCGTGCACATTGTGGAACGCTGTTTTGCATGGGGACACGTGTATGAGACGTGGTGGCTGTTCTATTCTTGCTGTGCGGCCCTCTGAACAACAGAAAGAGGATGAAAGATCGGTTCATGGTAGGATCCCCGTCGCGACAAAGTTCGTCATTTTCGATTGACACTTGCGTATGTCCCCAAATGGGCGCATGGGTGGTAATGAATGCCGTATTACGGTTAGGACCACCAATATAATACAGAAGCAGTTTTTGCCGAAAATTGGAGGCAAAACGGTGGTGCTTAGGCTTTGTTAACCCTTTTGAGATCCAGAGAGCCGCTGAGAGCATTAAAACCGAGTAGTTCTCTGCTACATATATGCATGCGTTCCTTACCATACAAAAACCGTCTTCAAGAAGGCGGGCCACGACCTAAAACCTTCTTCATGATGGCTGGAGGGCGTTGCGGTATTGAAGACAAAGATCCACAAGGTCTAAAATCCAGTATGTTTGCCAGCGATGGCAATAAGCACTTGTGGGGTCCTGAGAAAAACGTTTCGATCCAAGGAATTAACTGCCGTATGTAAAACTTGGCGGAGGCTCGCGTGTGGTAGTCCGTAAAAGAAGTTTTACAACTGCACAGGATTAGAGAAGTGGTGAATGCCGACGTATCAGATAGATTCTAGAAGGAGTTTCGTATCCGCTCGTATGAAACTGTACGTGACTGAGTTCGCCTTCTAGCTATAGAGCGACCAAAAGCATCGCACCTTCACTGTGAAGGATTGGTTTCGACAGCATGGCGCGCTTTCAACGAAGGGAACAATTCACACCAATGTCCCGAGCGCCATCGAAACATTATGGGAAAGGGTAGGGATACCTTTGGTGGAAATAAGAGCCGGGAATATGGGCGAGAAACTCGTCAAATTTCAAGAGAAGTGGAGGAAGCTGCCCTAGTAGACAGTGCATTCAATGACTGATTCCTTACTTAGGCCTTGTTGAGAGCTCAGCGACTCCGAAAGGCTGTCAATCAAGTATTGAATCTGCTTAATTTCCTTCATCATGCGTTGAATTGTTTTGCCGACTTGTAAGCTTTCTACAATAAACTTAAACTTGAAAGTTTAAAATGCTCAAGTACGACACATTCCAAGTAAGTTTGAAACTTATTGGAATGTGTCGTACTTGAGCATTTTTAGTGTCTGAGGAATATTTCGCAGCGACCTCCATTAACGGCAGCACCTGAAAGTTGGCTGATGTGCGCCTCATAACGCTATCACGCATTTCAGTTCTTACGGCAACTAATTGCAAGTGACTTGGGGGGGGGAGGCGGGCGGGTGTGAGGGTGTGTGTGTGTGGGGGGGGGGGGGGGGGGGGGGGGGGGGGGGGGGGGGGGGGGGGGGGGGGGGGGGGGGGGGGGGGGGGGGGGGGGGGGGGGGGGGGGGGGGGGGGGGGGGGGGGGGGGGGGGGGGGGGGGGGGGGGGGGGGGGGGGGGGGGGGGGGGGGGGGGGGGGGGGGGGGGGGGGGGGGGGGGGGGGGGGGGGGGGGGGGGGGGGGGGGGGGGGGGGGGGGGGGGGGGGGGGGGGGGGGGGGGGGGGGGGGGGGGGGGGGGGGGGGGGGGGGGGGGGGGGGGGGGGGGGGGGGGGGGGGGGGGGGGGGGGGGGGGGGGGGGGGGGGGGGGGGGGGGGGGGGGGGGGGGGGGGGGGGGGGGGGGGGGGGGGGGGGGGGGGGGGGGGGGGGGGGGGGGGGGGGGGGGGGGGGGGGGGGGGGGGGGGGGGGGGGGGGGGGGGGGGGGGGGGGGGGGGGGGGGGGGGGGGGGGGGGGGGGGGGGGGGGGGGGGGGGGGGGGGGGGGGGGGGGGGGGGGGGGGGGGGGGGGGGGGGGGGGGGGGGGGGGGGGGGGGGGGGGGGGGGGGGGGGGGGGGGGGGGGGGGGGGGGGGGGGGGGGGGGGGGGGGGGGGGGGGGGGGGGGGGGGGGGGGGGGGGGGGGGGGGGGGGGGGGGGGGGGGGGGGGGGGGGGGGGGGGGGGGGGGGGGGGGGGGGGGGGGGGGGGGGGGGGGGGGGGGGGGGGGGGGGGGGGGGGGGGGGGGGGGGGGGGGGGGGGGGGGGGGGGGGGGGGGGGGGGGGGGGGGGGGGGGGGGGGGGGGGGGGGGGGGGGGGGGGGGGGGGGGGGGGGGGGGGGGGGGGGGGGGGGGGGGGGGGGGGGGGGGGGGGGGGGGGGGGGGGGGGGGGGGGGGGGGGGGGGGGGGGGGGGGGGGGGGGGGGGGGGGGGGGGGGGGGGGGGGGGGGGGGGGGGGGGGGGGGGGGGGGGGGGGGGGGGGGGGGGGGGGGGGGGGGGGGGGGGGGGGGGGGGGGGGGGGGGGGGGGGGGGGGGGGGGGGGGGGGGGGGGGGGGGGGGGGGGGGGGGGGGGGGGGGGGGAGGGGGGGGGGGGGGGGGGGGGGGGGGGGGGGGGGGGGGGGGGGGGGGGGGGGGGGGGGGGGGGGGGGGGGGGGGGGGGGGGGGGGGGGGGGGGGGGGGGGGGGGGGGGGGGGGGGGGGGGGGGGGGGGGGGGGGGGGGGGGGGGGGGGGGGGGGGGGGGGGGGGGGGGGGGGGGGGGGGGGGGGGGGGGGGGGGGGGGGGGGGGGGGGGGGGGGGGGGGGGGGGGGGGGGGGGGGGGGGGGGGGGGGGGGGGGGGGGGGGGGGGGGGGGGGGGGGGGGGGGGGGGGGGGGGGGGGGGGGGGGGGGGGGGGGGGGGGGGGGGGGGGGGGGGGGGGGGGGGGGGGGGGGGGGGGGGGGGGGGGGGGGGGGGGGGGGGGGGGGGGGGGGGGGGGGGGGGGGGGGGGGGGGGGGGGGGGGGGGGGGGGGGGGGGGGGGGGGGGGGGGGGGGGGGGGGGGGGGGGGGGGGGGGGGGGGGGGGGGGGGGGGGGGGGGGGGGGGGGGGGGGGGGGGGGGGGGGGGGTGGGGGGGGGGGGGGGGGGGGGGGGGGGGGGGGGGGGGGGGGGGGGGGGGGGGGGGGGGGGGGGGGGGGGTGGGGGGGGGGGGGGGGGGGGGGGGGGGGGGGGGGGGGGGGGGGGGGGGGGGGGGGGGGGGGGGGGGGGGGGGGGGGGGGGGGGGGGGGGGGGGGGGGGGGGGGGGGGGGGGGGGGGGGGGGGGGGGGGGGGGGGGGGGGGGGGGGGGGGGGGGGGGGGGGGGGGGGGGGGGGGGGGGGGGGGGGGGGGGGGGGGGGGGGGGGGGGGGGGGGGGGGGGGGGGGGGGGGGGGGGGGGGGGGGGGGGGGGGGGGGGGGGGGGGGGGGGGGGGGGGGGGGGGGGGGGGGGGGGGGGGGGGGGGGGGGGGGGGGGGGGGGGGGGGGGGGGGGGGGGGGGGGGGGGGGGGGGGGGGGGGGGGGGGGGGGGGGGGGGGGGGGGGGGGGGGGGGGGGGGGGGGGGGGGGGGGGGGGGGGGGGGGGGGGGGGGGGGGGGGGGTGGGGGGGGGGGGGGGGGGGGGGGGGGGGGGGGGGGGGGGGGGGGGGGGGGGGGGGGGGGGGGGGGGGGGGGGGGGGGGGGGGGGGGGGTGGGGGGGGGGGGGGGGGGGGGGGGGGGGGGGGGGGGGGGGGGGGGGGGGGGGGGGGGGGGGGGGGGGGGGGGGGGGGGGGGGGGGGGGGGGGGGGGGGGGGGGGGGGGGGGGGGGGGGGGGGGGGGGGGGGGGGGGGGGGGGGGGGGGGGGGGGGGGGGGGGGGGGGGGGGGGGGGGGGGGGGGGGGGGGGGGGGGGGGGGGGGGGGGGGGGGGGGGGGGGGGGGGGGGGGGGGGGGGGGGGGGGGGGGGGGGGGGGGGGGGGGGGGGGGGGGGGGGGGGGGGGGGGGGGGGGGGGGGGGGGGGGGGGGGGGGGGGGGGGGGGGGGGGGGGGGGGGGGGTAATGCATTTTATAGTTTATGCTGATACTGTGCAGATAAAGAATTTTTTATGCTTAAGTTAGGGCGGAAGTGGTGTAGTGACAAGTGGCGCGCTCACCACGCGAGCGGTCCGGGATCAAATCCTGGGTCGTGAGTCGCCCGGGCCAACCAAGCCTTCCATCCCTCCGGGGTCGGTTAATTGGTACCAGACTTGTCTGGGAGGATAAAAAACACTGACTTGTACATCGGCTGGCCCCCGCAAGTCATTGTATAGGCCACATCGCATTCAAACGCCACTACGAATGTACAAATGGAAGTAGAATGCGTGCCGCATCCCAAAAAGGGATTGATCAACGGCAAATGCTTATCCTTTATTTATCCTTTAAGTTTGTTAATTCCGAATTTAGATTTATTTATTTGAGTTAGAGTAACTTCTAGGAGAATTCATCCTTACGAAGGCATATAATAGATAAAGAATAAATAACAATAATAAATAAGTGTGAAAACATATATGAAATGAACAAATATTAGGTGAACACAGAAAACATATCTTATTTGTGTCAGGCCTGACACATGCGTCAATCTCCGAAAGCCCCCCAAAAGGACCCATGAGGTTCTAAAAAATTTTAACATTTTTGTACCTCTTTTTTTTTTGTCTTCGGCAATAAATATAATATTTCAGAGTCTCACATTGTTGTTACACAATTAAGTCAGCGCGAGACTTAAGGACACAAAAATGTTAAGGCAAATTGTTATTTATCAGCTTCCACAAGCGTAATTTATCATTTACACATATTTATTGGTCAAATATAAGCCATAAAGTGCAACTGTGATAAAATAATACAAAGAATAACGAAATAATAAATAGCAGCTCCCCGACAATAAATTGCTCATAGTTACGACAACAAGGCAGCAATTGGCCTCACTTTACGGCCGATGGGCAGCCTTCCGGATCGGGATGGTTCTGGCAGTGACGGATGGTTTCGGCTTGGGCACCTCGATGGCCAGCTGACCGTTTTCAGATAGGGTGGATCGGATCTGCTCGACGTCAACATCTTCTGGAAGAGTCCATCGTTGAAGGAGTGACCTGCAAAAGAGGGAATCAGCGGTTCTACCCTGAGAGGACAACCTTTGGAATTTGAAAGTGAAGGCCTACCTTCTCATATAATCAGAGGCTTTAGTTATTTCTTGCTTGCCTTCAACGGTGAGCGTCCGACCATCGATGTTCACTGTCAGCTCGTCTGGTTTGAATTCGGAAACATCTACTGAGAACGATAATTTTGATTCCTCATCGGTAACCTGAAATTGTCCCCTTGAGGGTCTATTACAACAAAAAAACCAAGTTGGGTAGGAGGTGTCACGTACCTCAAGATTGCTCACCGGAGCTGTTTCCGCTTTTCTTTCTGTTTGGGAGGGAAGCGGAAACGAACTTGCGGCTCGCTCGAATTGCTCGAATTGGCTGAAGACGTCGTCGAGAAGAGTGGGCAGAATCTCTGTCTCAGTGGTCCATGGAAGAATGCAGATCGGCATTGCTGATTGTTCTGAAGAGAAGCCTCCTAGTGCTGGAGTTACCATACTCGGCGCTGCTTATGTACCATTCGGAGGGACTCTTCGGGAACTGTCGAGAGCCTTCTCGCTCCGCCCCATCCCGTCACCGTGCTCGCAATGAGTCAACCGATTGGGTCCTACGAGATAGTGATTCGCTGACGAAACAACAATCAACGAACTCTCCAGAGAATTCGCGAAGATCACCGAGTGCCCACCTGGTGTTAATTAGCTGCAGTGTTCCTTTTGCTGCTGTACTTTCTTAGTGAGCTTTCTTAGGTGGTGTTTACTTCATTCCGCAACTTTGCTATTTCCATACTGTCTCTAATACCGCAGCAAGTCTCCTAATAAAGAATTATCTCAGTCGTAACCAACCTCTCCACCAACCAAGAAGCATTTTTAGTTGAACCCGTATGGTTCCGAATTTTATTGAGTCCATGTACCTAAAGATTCATTAATGTATTGAATCCATGAATGTGTTAATATTGCCATTAAGTGAATAGAGCGAAATTGTTTACCTTTTTGACTCTCACTCTTCATTATTATGTTGTTTATTTGCATACTATGGCTGACTATACTGGCTGGCCATACAAAGCCAACTAAAGCCATAAGTATAGCCATAAGTATGGCTATACTTATGGCTATACTTATGGCTTATGACTTCTTTCTTTTCGACACATAGGAAAAAAAAGGGTGAAACTCCAGTTCGGGGGGGGGCACTCCATTTTTTCTCCAATACTCAAGATAAGGATTAGAGGGCTCACGACACGTAATCGACTCATTTAAAGTAGACTTCTGATAAATATTGGTGTAATGGGTGAGAAACCCTGAAACGTTTTCACATTTCCGCCTGCCATGACCCAAGGGAACGGTCCTGGACCAGGAGAAAGGACACCTCCGCAAAGGGCTAAGGGTGCAGGAGCTCCAGGGTGGATCACCTGTGCAGAAAAGTGGATGGGATGTGGGCAGGTAGTGTGGAATGTAGGACATCCACCGGTCCTTATCAAAAGTACGCTCGAAATGAGTCGTTCACTTATTATCTTATCCGTAGTGTTCGATAGCCCAAAGAACTGCTCTCTAGTACTACGGATAAGATAGCAATGGAGTGGCCCCCCCGAACTGGAGTTTCACCGAAAAAAGCACGCGTTATTACTGATTTTTTGTGTTTATTTTTTTCTTTTTTTTCTACATAGATATGTTTATGGCTTGTGGTTTCACTTATTTGTCGTGAATGAGTTCCAAGGCGCTTGATAAGGAGATCCCCAGATCATAACCTCCTAGAGATACCTAGAATGACTGTAGTCACCCAAAAAAGTTGTTCTTAGATTGGACTTGATCAGTGGCGGGTCAGAAACTGAATTGTTAGGGGTAGGGAATACCTAACATCCGAAAATTCAGTTTCTGATTCCATGCGTATGCTTCGGGCCCGCCTAGGAGTGGCAGGAGTTTCCCTAGCGCTATCCGCCCAACGACATCGAATACTGACTAACGAATACTGAATGCATTTCTATTACGAAGTTACATACTTCAGTGGCCTACAAGTCCTTCTATTAAATAGTTGCATTTGCGTTAAATTCCGGCGCTTTTTGGTAGTTTCGTTCCTAAAAAACTCGCTTTATACCTTCACGCTAACTACTGGTTTCATTTAGTTAATGTTATAGTTCCCGTAATTTCATTTGATGTCACATGTGAATTGGTATAAGCTCACGTAAGGCGTTGCAATAAAAATAAATGATAAATACTGCTTTTATCTTATTTTTCCAATCATCGCATGTACATTTTACTCATATTTGTTTATTAATAGATCTGCTGATTAGGGCGGAAGTGGTGTAGTGACAAGTGGCGCGCTCACCACGCGAGCGGTCCGGGATCAAATCCTGGGTCGTGAGTCGCCCGGGCCAACCAAGCCTTCCATCCCTCCGGGGTCGGTTAATTGGTACCAGACTTGTCTGGGAGGATAAAAACACTGACTTGTACATCGGCTGGCCCCCGCAAGTCATTGTATAGGCCACATCGCATTCAAACGCCACTACGAATGTACAAATGGAAGTAGAATGCGTGCCGCATCCCAAAAAGGGATTGATCAACGGCAAATGCTTTATCCTTTATCCTTTAATCTTAAATACTCTGTATTATTGTGTGATGTCAAAAAAACCAATTTGAAGCTTATCGCTAGTTATACTCCCCTTCCCATGAATCCATGCGTACATTGTGATGTCAGCCTGAGAACTTATTCGAGTGACTTCAATCGACGGCTGCCCTCACGTTTACACTAATAATCCAGGTCTCCTGCCTTTGAAAAGGAAGGCAATCAGAGTAACTTTCGAGCGGTACCATACCGCTATTTTAGAAAGGAATTATTAGTGCGGTATTACAAGGCTGCCCAGGGCCTTACTTTATGCGATTGGTGACGCGTTTTAACAGTAACGACAAGTACGAATGAAAGCAACGGAAAAAAGGTTCAAGCCTTGTGAAAAAAATTGGCGGCGTATGGTGTTAATAGCACGCTTGCATCCGGCGATTATAAACTCTTTTTGGGATGCGCCATGTACTCGTCTCTCATTCTAGACAACTTGACATTTGTTTGACAAGTCAGCCAATGTCAGACCTAATGAAGGACTTACATGATGGGGCAATGCAGCAATACCGACCCTACTACATGGTCTAATAAAAGCGATAACGATCACAGCTGGAGTCTTGAGCCCATCCCTCTGAGCTCTTTACTCTTCCTCTTAACAGTGGACGGCCTGGTGAAGAGGATTTTGGAAGAAACGGGCACGAAGGTGAACTCCATTCAGGACAGCTCTTTATGAACGCGACATTGTCCTGAAGCAGATGGCGGAGTAGACTTCAGTGCAATGTGCACGTGTGGCAGGAAGTGCTAGCATAAGGTGGACTCCGGCTTTCGCACGCTCAAAGGAAGGTGTACCGGACAGTGATAAGGCCTGCGATGCTATACGGCAGCGAGTGCTGGCCCCTGAACAAGAATCACGAAAGGCTCACTCCGCTGAGATGAGGATGCTGAGATGGGCCTGCGGCTGGACGCGACTGGACAGGGTCAGAAACGAGGATGTCAGAGCGGTCATGCAGACTGCCCCTGTCCAGCTGAAGGTACGGGAATAGCGTCTGCGATGGTATGGGCATGTGCTAAGATATCCCGTGACCACCCCGCAAAGAACGCGATTGGACTCCGAAGCGCAAGGCGGCCTCAAAAAGGCGGTGGAAAGACTCAGTCAAGAAGGACTTAAGTGAAGTCACGGCCACGGTAGATGATGCTCTAAACGGAGCAAAGTAGCGACGACGAGGCCGTCGTGAATAGCACAACTAGCGCGCCATAGAAACCATAGAACCAACCATCTTCCAACCATAGAAAGACTACTTTGATGTCTTCTCCTTAAGTTAGCTTCGTGACACAGCATGGTTGCGTCCAGCGTAAGGTTATGCATTATTTAAAGGCTTCCGCGACAAAGACGCATAGTAAGACCTCGATGAGCACTGGGATGAGCTCACCATTTGGGCCTTTTGGGCAAGAGAAGAGTTTTCACATAATCAGCCAAAACACGTTTATTGATTACCAGACAAAATCGGCACAAAATTAAAGGATTATACACTAAATTTGAGAACATGAAGGTGAATAAACAAATAAGATAATATTAGCTAATCAAATAAATAACAAATCTAAAGGGTGACTCAAAGAGGAGTACACAACTCGTTTCTACTATGTACAGTATTAATATTTAGTCAACTTTAGATCCTCG